GAGAATACATCACTATCAGTCCGAGAAATAGTGTTTACACAACCATGGAAAAACATTGGCATCCGACATCACTAGCATCTATCACTCGTGAGAGCTGCGCCTGGCCATCGACAGGTGTGAGGGATGTGTCTTTGGCCGCCAGAAACGTGTGACATAATTTATGCACTTTTTCAACCTCTTTCTGTCCCCCCCCCCCCCCCCTGGGGCGAAATGCGCAGGACGGGGGCAGCGATACCTGTTCCTAGGGAGGTTCACACACACACACACACACACACACACACACACACTAACGGGTAGATATTTCCCCATAATAGCGATAATTGAGTGTTCTGGAAATGGTTAGTTTGCATGATAAAACGCCGTGTCCCTATCATATCCAAATTGCCCCGCGCCGCGCCGCGCCTGGACGTTTGGAGCTGGCCTGCCAGAGAGCCCTGCGGGTTCTCCTGCAGCCGTTCTGCCGGGTCCTGCGGGTATCCTGTTGGTCCTGCAACGAGCTGCTTGATTTACTGCGACACGGCCCAAACGGACGCTGCTCAGCGCCGCATCAAAAACATACACTTTCGCAACCGTTAATAATAATCGACTGAAAACTTTTATTTGATGTGGAAAATGCGTGCCTCGAGGCCCCCGGGCGATGAACATGTATTTTACGATGGGGGACTGGCACATGGCGCGGGCGGCGCCGGGAGGTGTGACCGCGTTGCCGGTTACCGCGACGTCCGGCAGATATATGAGACCCGCTCTTTCGCGCTCCGCCTCACTGTTAAGACCTTACGAAGCAAAATGCCAAATCCTTGGTATGGTACGAAGGATTTGGAAGCTTCGAAGGTGGCCAAAATCCTTCGAGAGGTACGAAGGATTTAGCATTTTGCTTCGTCAAGTTTCAACAATGGCTCCATTCGCCGGCTGAAAATGAAGATCGCCGCGACGCACACTGGGCAGTCAAAATACATCGCCCCGATAGACTATAATGCTTCTGCGGCTCGAGCAAAAAAAATAATAATAACATTGGGAAGATGAGCGGCGATGGTAACACCGTCATTAAGTGATGTGCGTGAGCCAGCGTGAGCTTCCCAACCCACTCGGCCACGAGCCACACACACGTGGATCAATAGAGACCGGCCAAACAGCTGAAGCCATCATCAAAAACGCCTTGTCGTGAAAATAAAACTTCAAACACGAAATTGATCTTTTTTATCTGTTTGAACTTTTTATTAAATTGATAGCATGCTGAGTTCTTCAAACATTTTCAGCCAAATCATTTTATGATACACCAGTTAGAAAACATGTCTTCATGCTTGTCAGGTCATTTCTAATTGGTTTCAGTTCTATATAAAATTCTCCATATGCATCATCTGCTAAAAACGCGCTTCTACCTGTGCCTCGCGTTTTGGACGGCACACCGCAATCGAGTATATGGGATAGACTCATTCGGGAGGGGCAGGCGTGGGAGCAGAGAAGAGGGCGGAGGGGAGGGAAAGGAAGAGAGGGGAAGGATACGGGCGACCAATCACATGGCCCCACCGTGCTCCGAACGGGCTGGGATTGGTCGAGCGCCGCGGGGTGATAAAATCACCCAGTGGAGACGAGACACTTCCCGCTGACCACGGCCAGGACTTCTCTCAGGACCATCCCACCCCCCCGAGAGAGGAAGGGAAGGAGGGAGAGAGAGGGGGAAAGAGAGAGAGGGAGAAAGGGAGAGAGAGGGGGGAGAGGGAGAGAGAGAAGAGAGAGAGAGAGAGAGACAGAGAGAGAGAGAGAGAGAGAGAGAGAGAGAGAGAGAGAGAGAGAGAGAGAGGAGCGGGGGATTAGAGAGAGCGACATGGAGCGTCGTGAGAGACAAGGAGAAGAGAGAATTGTGGGATTGTGAGGAAGACGGCAGATACGGATGGAAACAGGGTGAGGTGAGAGATGGGGTAGGGGGTGGAGAGAGGGAGCGCGTGGAGTCAAACAAGTCTTCTTGTTGTGTCTTGTGATCCTTGTCGTGTCGGGCCTGGGTCACTGTCGCCAATAAAGGTGGGAGGAGAGGGGGGAGGAGAGTGCGCGACCCTGGTCTTGACTAGCGCATGTGTCTAAGGGACGGGAGGGAGAGACAGACAGACAGACAGAGAGAGAGAGAGAGAGAGAGAGAGAGAGAGAGAGAAGGGGGGGAAGGATTAGAGGGGCTGAGGTGGGAGAAGGATGTGTCGCCAACGGACTAACAACGGCTTAATCGAATTTAACGATACAAACGAGGTGCGGTGAGGGAGTGGAGGCCCCGGGCCACAAACCAGCTACGTCATGCGCCAACCCCGCCCCCTCTCTACCCCGCCCGCCCGTGCGCTTGTGTGTGTGTGTGTGTCTGTGTGTGCCGACTGACCGAGTGACTGCGGAAATAACTCTGCTACCGTAATATCAACGATTGTATTCTGTCTTGGCTAACGTCCTCACGGGCGCCCTGGCCACCGCCCCCCCCCC